TTAAGGGTCCTAAGTTCAATTCATAATTAAGTCAAGGTTTTTTTTCAGAATTTGATGAATAATAAAATAAGTAGTGAGGTTTGTCACAATACAAAATCCATATTTCTGTTTATTTCTTTAAACATACTCAATAACAATTAATTAAATCATATCATAATCTCTATGAGAATGGCAGAAAATATCTCCACCAAAGTGAGGTCACAGTCACCTTGACTAACCATAAATCCAACTACTCTGCAAAGCTGTAAAAGGCATAAGAGAATTTCAAGAAAAATAAGTAAAAGAACTGTGCCTTGACTATGAATTGAACTGGTAATCTTGAAGAGTTATTGCTCTTCCTTGTATCCTTATACCCTAGTAAAATGGAGGCATTACAGGATGCAATGGCCTTGGTACACCTTTTCGACGCTTTGCACCATACTTCGTGTTATTCATCGACATGGAGGACATTCTGGGTGGTGATTTATACGTCAAAAGCTATTATTTCACTTATTTAAGTTTTGGCTTTTACTATTAGTTAGTTCTTGTGTAGCATTCAGTTTTCATAATCCTAACCATGTTTTTGGGAGAGTGCCAAGGCTTGTGCCCACTCACTTTTTCGGGAGTACTTCTAGGTTCCTACCATAATACTGGTATTTGCCCTACTGCATAAAAGCTTGGATGGCTTAGGTAAGCGAAACAACTTGGTATGAGCCATTTTGTTTGCTTTCTAACAGCCAACCTTCTTTCCCTCCTTCTCTTGAAATCTACTACTATTTGAATCTCTATTCTTGTCTTTGCCCATTAGGTGAGACCATTAGCTGATAAACTCCATCCATACAAGACAGCAGGTATGATGGTATTTAGAGCTTCTCACCTTCTGCCCACCTTTTCTCTACTTATTCCTTCAAGTTTGGTACTTATTCATTCTATAGGTCGAATTCAACCTTTTCTCAATTGGGTTTTCTACTTCCAAAATACTCTTACCAATACAGCCATTACAAATTCTCTACTGCGGAGGACCTTAGATTATCTGCCTCTGCTGAATGGACCAATCCCACCCATATTTTATTGCCGAAGTCACAGAAATGGGTAATGAAAAAGATTGGTGTAAGCACGACTACCTCTGGCCCAGGTCTTTTACTGTCCTCAAGCTAACTCTTCCAGGTTTTCCTCTTTTTCAAATTGCTAGTAGGTCTAGAGATGATTGTTCTTGTTTCCACTAGTAACATTGTTTATACCTACCATGCAGGTCATGTTAGAGAGAGAAATCTACATAGCGTATTCGATAAGGGATCTGTACCAGATATCACCCAAGTCGGGATCTGGTAGAATGTGAGGGTATTATAGAAGAGATTACATCAATTCTCCAGCCACACTGTGGTTTTTCTAGTTATGACATGATTGTTGGAAACCACAGTACAGGCAAGACGATATTGATCTGCCATATTGGACACCAGCTTCATGGTATCATTTATATAGATGTTGACATAATGGCCATTCTGAAGAAGGATTTTATGGGGGCATTTGCTGGAGTATTCTGTTGATCTCTGCCTGTTATGACCTGGCTCACAGTATTGTTAAGTAAGCTCTATATTATTGACAAAGCAGAACCTAGTGGTGAGTTGCTCAGGTAGCACATATAAAATTGAGTCGCAATTAACTGTAAATAGATAAAAGGCCACATTTCGCTAATGTATATAACGAGTTCAAAAACTAGGCTAGGATATTTTGGAAGAACAATGGTCATAGTCCTGTTCTTGTACTTGATAACATCAATTGTCTCGCCTTAGAGAATCTGAAACTCCTCGACATGTGGCAGGATATGGCGAAAGATGTTGTAGATAAAACATTGTTTATTACGGTCTTTGTTACTAGTGAGAGCTGGGCACCGATCAGTATATTTGGTAGGCTCCATTTCTGTTCCACCATAGTGCCTACCCCCAATACTCCAATAGTCAAACCGTGTACTATATCATTGGAGTTAGCTTTTCTGGTATGGTATACCAGTGGGTCTGGTATTTTTCTTTTTTTTAAGTTTCTTAGAATGGCTGGGGAGCTTGTTTTTTGCTATGTTTCTCATGCCTTTTCCAAAGTAGGGAATTCTTAACCTTATAGCACATGATTTTATTATTTAGGTTTTTACAGTAATTCAGAATATTAATATGCTAATGATATATATGAAATTGCTATAGCTTGTTCAGCTATATCCAGGTTAGGGGAAGTGGTCGGGGTGGAGGATCTTAGTCATGATAAACCAGTTGGTATTTGCCGTAAGCAGGGTCTGAGATCAGAAAAGGCTATAGCTATTTATGATCTTGTAGGTGGTCTTGCAGGCCTTCTCAAGACAGTTTCAGATTGCCTTAAGGCAGGTAGAAATTTCTTAGGTATATTCTTTACTTTGTATCTGAAATGGGGTTAATTGATTATTTACTAACCTACTCTGGCAGATATAAGGGCAAAATTGATACAGTCCTAGAAGGGCAAATTCTTGAATGCTAAGATGACTAAGAAGAGGGGACAAATCAGACACGTAGGGCTCAAAATTGCAAGCCATATTCTGAAAGACGGTCATAATCATAAATCCCTTTTTTTCCAGATTGCTAAGACTACTAAACTTGTTACACATCTACTTTCTATCAATATATTTACAGCTATGCCTGCCGCTGGGTAGATAAACATC